TTATGAATGGCCTTCAGGAATTAATTAAATTTGTGAACTAAGGTTCCACTGTATATATAATTAAAAAACAAGGATGCTACAAAAACAGTGTTCAATGTAAAATATAAGAAAGACAATACTTAGATATTTACTGCCTTTTCAACAACTTAATTTATGCGGTTCAAGAATATATATTGTACCACCTGAAGATAAAGTTTCATGTGGACATGTAGATAAAGTCACTGAAAGGCAGTAATTTCTGAGTACTGTTTTTTCTTATATAGGGTGTGATGGATGAATTGTTGTCTAAATTATGCAAAAATGAAAATAACACTGATATCTCATTTTAACAGATATATTTACCAAAATTACACAAATATATCTTCAAATACTAAAGAGTAAATCTATTTATAGATCACGACAGCTATTAGGGAGATCTGATTAAATATACTTTAATGTTTTTAAAAAAATTATTCAGTATTATTATTGTTTAGAGCATTATAAAATAGCACAGGTAGCTTTAGTGTGGAAATAGGAATTTTCAACAATATACACATTTTTTATGTATTTATGGTTATTTTTTTAACTTTTATCAAAAACGATATTCTTGTACATGTATTTATGTATAATATTATGCATTAATTACTAATTTTATTTAATTAACTATTTGTGCTCAGTTGTTGACATTAATAGCTATCTGCTGATGTAATAATTTATATGTTGCAATCTGTCAGTAAAATTGCCATTGGCTTCACCCATGGCATCCAGATGACTTCAGAATCTCCTGCAACTCTTCTGGATGGTCTCTTTGTTTAAGTTGGTGAATACAGCCATAATCCTTGCTTTCAGTTCAACTTTGGTGAAACAAGGAGTTTTCTTGGTCTCTTGCTCAACTGCAACACCACACATAATAATCAAGGGGGTTTCAGTCTGGGGAGTTAGCTGGCCAGATGTAAGGGGTGATGTAGTTGCAGAAATTATCTAACAGCCATGACTGGGTCCTCCTGCTTGTGTGGCATGGTGCAATGTCCTGTTGCCAGACATAGGGTCTTCCAGCAGCCACCCTGTTAATCTAGGGCAGCACTACCTCCTCAAGGCACTTGATGTAAGCGTCCGTGTTGAGTCTGAGGCCCTCACCATCAAATTCAGGAGTTCTTTTCTTATCAGAATGATCAGAGTGAGTTTTCTAAGCTGCCGTACTTTAGTAATCACCATTAGACTCCTCTCTTTCCAAATCCTCTGAACTTTTCTCAAATTGACATCTGAACACTCTGAAATTTTTGTATTGGAGCTTCTGGTGCAAATACCAAACTGTACAGCATGTCATTTCCAAATCTCTGGCGGAGTGAATTGCATTATGGTGGTCTTTTTCTCACAGACAGTGCCCAACTGACCCTACAATACTGTACAGTTTACAAAATAAAAAACAAACAACATGCATGCATGAAATTAAAAATATAAAATGGCAACAATTTACCCATTGCACCATGTGTGTGTGTGTGTATATATATTATATATATATATATATATATATATATCAAAGTATATAATTGGTATATACGGAATGAATTCCAATAACCAACAATTACTATTCTTAAAAGAGTGCTCAATACAAAGTAGAGCAGATATAATTATTTTTTATAAAAAATTATAACATAAGTATGTTATAAGATCACTACAAAAATAGCCATTTTGTTTCAACACATTCTGTGTCTTCTCAAGTGATGATGTTGAAAATAAAATAAATGGTTTTAAAAAGTTTCAGATTAATTAACGATCCTACACTAGGGGAGCATTGTTACAAAAGCTGGAATAACCAATCAAAAACGAAGTATAGAAAGATTCAAAAGCTTGACAACGAAATCCTGTTATAATAGCTATTCAGATCTTTAAATACGTGTAATATTAAAAATAATTTATACTAACTAATAATTATAAAATCATATGATAAAATTTAATATTAAAATTAAAAATTGGTAATTTTAAAATCCAAATTTAATCACTATTAAGTTTAAAAACTACAAAATTATTGAGAAAAGAAAAAATATATATGTTTATTCAATTCATTTCTTCATTGAAATTATGTTCGACAAGGACGCTACAATATATCCGGTCATTTGATAATACATGTATATATATTTTTTTCCTTTTCCCTTTCATTTCCGTTTTTATTTTAAAGTTTGTGGATGTGGTCTTAAACTCACGCGTCAAGACAACAAAAACACAATCAGATTATAATACATAAGCACCCAGACATAATTAGATATACACACACACATACATACATACATACACACTAAAAAAAAAAAAAAAGGAGGTGGTGGGGGGAAAAACATGAACATCTCTACAGCCCTTTATGAAAAAAAGGGAGACGTGAAACTAACACTAACACACACACACAGTGAATACACTCTACATACACATAGACACCGATAGATACACATACATACATCCACAGACAATGACAGACAATGAGAAATCACAACCAATAAATATTTCAGACTTAAATAAATGCTAACCACTTATTGAATTATAACTTAAGGAGCAAATATACAAAGATAAAATGGTTAAAAATAATATTATTTAATATATTAAAACGAAAATTTTAAAACCATAAATATCAATGAAAATATATATTAATCATATAAGTTGATAATAGTTTCATTATATATTAGGCAAGGAAAAACAGTATACAGAAACACACAACTATATATATATATATATATATATATATATACGGGAGCAAAAAAATTAACACACATAAATATACACTCATACAGAAATGCATACAAATAAATATATAAACATAAACATATACGCACATATACATATCTATGATAACAAGTACACATGCACGCACATATACATATAAACCTAAATACACCCACATATATACACACAAACTTTTATGCACACATACTTACATATATAAAAACCGTCATGATATACCAAAGTTTCCATACCCCCACATACACACAAACAAACTCATACATAATAGGTGCCAACACACATAAATATATATACACAAATATACATAAATATATATAAATAAACATATATATAAAAAACATATATCTAAAATAACTAACAACTAACCATATACACATGCATACATAAAAAAATACAACAACACTCAACCAAATACATACATAAACGTACTAACATATAGATACATAAATATACCTTCAAAACCAACACACACCAATATACATATAGTCTAACATACAAATATATAAACACAATCATACAAACAGAAATATACTTAAATATAGATATACATACACAATAAAATAGGACATACAGATATATATATATGCACACACATATATATATACAAATATATAGTGGCGTAAAGCCGAAATTAGGAGGCACTCAGTGAGGAACTAATTCATTACTCAGTCGCACCCAATCCCGCGAACCATGCTGGCCAACCATTATACTGCCGTGATTTTATCATACATATACATATATATATTTATACATATACACATACACACACATACATACATACATATACACACATATATACATATATACAACCACACACACACACACACACATATATATATATATATATATATATATATATATACACACACACATACATATATATAGCGTAACAATTATTAACCTCTTCTCTTATCATCTACCATACCTTCCCACCTAATATATATATATATTTATAAAAAAAAAAAAAAAAAAAGATTTTATCATATGATTTTATAATTATTAGTTAGTATAAATTATTTTTAATATTACACGTATTTAAAGATCTGAATAGCTATTAGAGCAGGATTTCGTTGTCAAGCTTTTTGAATCTTTCTATACTTCGTTTTTGATTGGTTATTCCAGCTTTTGTAACAATGCTCCCCCTAGTGTAGGATCGTTAATTAATCTGAAACTTTTAAAACCATTTATTTTATTTTCAACATCATCACTTGAGAAGACACAGAATGTGTTGAAACAAAATATGCTATTTTTGTAGTGATCTTATAACATACTTATGTTATAATTTTTTATAAAAATAATTTTATATAAAATATATATATATATATATATATATATATATATATATATATATATATATATATAAAAATGTCTGACAATGACTGAAATTATTAAAAAAAAAAAATTCTGCATTTGCAATCTGTTACATGTTATGTGGTGCAGCAAAATAGTTACCTTTTTATTTTATTTTTTTTTTTTGAGTGACTGTTACCCTTTTGTGTTTATTGGGATATAGGGCTATCTTCTGTGTTCTTGTAATTCTCCATATTCAGGTAGATGCTGAATGGTTTTAATATAAACCCCAAAATATGAACAGACATTTGTGGGGGTATTTGGTTAATTTTATCCATTCTTGGTCGGGGGGGGGCTTCTCTGCATTCCTTCTATCACTTAACACCTGAAATAAATTGCTAATAAAAAAAAAAAAAAAAAAAAACATACTGGAACTGTACTAAACAAACTTTAATAATAAATATTTTGGTAATTGCTGTCAAAAGAGATTAATATAAGAAATTAACAAAAAAAAAAAAAGTTTACAAATGTTCTTTTTTCTTTATTGGATGATTAACCCTTTCACATTCAACATGATCAAACTCACCCCATAAATATCAGTTCTCAAAGTCATTCTGATTCCATGACCTCCTGAATTATTTGCAATGATGTCATATATTATGGCAGAGTATACATGAGTTAGGGTTATGACAGGTTGAATATTGAGAGCCAATGTTTACTTTAACCCCTTTCGCATTCAACATTCTCAAACTCACCCCATAAATATCACCTGTCAATGTCTTACTAGTTGTGGGCAAACTCTAATTGTTTACATAACTTCCTGCATTATTTGCGATGATGTCAATATATCTTATGGCAGAGTATAAATAGGGCAGATTACAGAGGGTTGAACATTGAGAGCCGATATTTACAGAGTATGTCTGGGCAGGATGAATGCTAAGGTTTAAATTATTTGAATTTATTTTATTTTTTTTTCAATATCTTGACTCTTCCATTTTCAGCCAATTTTGATGAAGATGTTGTAGCAAAGATGCCCTCAACCATGAACAATGGTGTCTATTTTGGTTGGGCCAATGTAGACAAGGGTCCTGTGTATAAAATGGTGCTCAGCATTGGATGGAATCCTTATTACAAAAATGAGAAGAAATCTATGGTAAGTATTGAAGAGATTCTCTTTGTGAAATTCTTGTTCCTGTTTTATAAGATTTTAGCCAAGACTCCCTGCCGAGGGAATGATTTGATCATCAAAAATGGATTTTATCTTTGAAGGCTTTGCTCGTCTTCTGAAATGTTACTTTATGGCAAGGGCGCCAGAATAGAATCTCTACTGAGTGAAGACACATAAAACTCCAGCCATGGTTTTTACCATCCTAAAGGGCTTGCAAACTTCATGCTATCTCTGCAATTGCTCTAAGAAAATGTACCCCTCTGAACTGGCTCTTGATCTCTCCAAACTCTGCAACAAATGCCTTGCTGCTTCTTACATTCCAACTTGTTGAAAATCTTCTTCTCTAGTTCCTACCCTTAAAATATCTGGTGAGCCTTTTGATCCCTTGATTATCATCCTATTAGTCTTTTTACCACTTTATAGCAAACTACTAGAAGTTCTAATCAACACAGAATTGGTTAATCATCTCACTTCACATGGTTTTTTTTAGGTAAACAATAAGGCTTTTGCTTCTCTAGATTAACTGCTGATGTGTTAAGGGTTATCAGTCAATTTGTCTCTTCTGGTTTCTTGCTTCCTTGCCACCTAAAATCTTAAAATTTGGAAATGCAACATCAACTGACATCTGTTTTCTTAAATCCAGTTATTTTATTGTCCTTTCCCTCCAGTAAATTCTTCCCATTTTCAACTCCTAAATAACCTCTTGCATCTTAGTGAAATTGTTACTTTTCTTGGCATGAAGTGATTTAAAATTACACACACACACATATATATATAATATATATATATATATATAGGAGGCATGGTGGAGTAATGGATAGCAGCTTGGATTGAGGAATCGCAGAGCCAAGTCCGAATTCCAGTCAAATCCATTACATTCACTTACGTGCTAAAAAGGTATGAATCCTCTTTCTCTCCCTCCAGCTATGGGTAAAATAGCAGGACAGATTGGGTTCTATAGCCTTGGATGGCAACTGGTCTAGGAGAAGGACAACTCTGAATTCAAAACCTGCGGAGGGTCGTTTGGGAATCTTGTGGCACTCGGTGCACCAGGTCTCTGTATTCGTCCCTTCAAAAAGTGTGGATGGTCCTGCACGAAGCCTTCACCACTATAATCAAATCTTATGTGCCGGTGTCGGTCTGTCGGTTTCCTGAAGCTTGACCCTCATACGTTGAATCTCGACAGGAGAGTCGACTATATATATATATATATATATATATATAAAATTGTAGATTATCAAGTTAGGCTAAATCCAAATACTCATATTCTATAGTGTCTAAATAGATATTCCAAACACCTCAGCTTCACCTATAAGGCAGAAAAGATTAATAGTGTAAATATAAAATGTGACTTCTGGTCAATATGCACCGAAAACTAGGGAAGAGCATACTGCATGTTCACCATGTAACACAATGAAAGACCAATGTCATGTCAAAGAAATAAATATGAACCCTTTGTCACATATTTTATTCAGGGATTTATCTGCTCATCTGGGTGATACCTGGGACATAAGTATCAACGGAAATGTGCTCTTGAACTAACTCTTCTTCTTCTCTCCAAACTCTACAGCAAATGCCTTGCTACTTGTTGATTTCCAACTTGGAAATCCTCTCTTGTAGTTTCTATCTTTAAGAACTCTGGTGAAACTTTCAATCCTTCTATTAGAGTTCTATTAGCCTTTTTTCTTTTTAACAAAGTACTAGATGTTAGGCATCTCTCTTCACATGATGTTCTTTCAGATAAACAATATGACTTTTGTTTCTCTAGGTCAATTGCCAATGTCTTAATGGTTATTATTGAATTTATCTATCAAGTTCTAGATAGAAATGGTGAAGTTGTGACTTTAGATATTTCAAAAAAATAATAGGACATTATATAGGAACAACTGGGTCGCATTCATGGATAAGTTATAAATATTCACACAAACAAGGAATATTATAGTTTTCAGAATGCTCATTAATATTCAAATAGTTCTTCAGACGAATGAACATTTTTTTCCAGATACAAATCAGGTAAGGGAAGACCAAGAAAATGAAAAAAAAAAATATTTTTTGAATTTTTATTCCATACTTGTTGTCTATATTTTACTTCTATAATTATCAACAAAAATCATTTTTTTTTATCATCTCTTACAATACAAACCATAAAACTAAATTATAGTTTTCAATGGTCAGATTTGCTTTTGGTTGTTCTTTAATACATTAGTAGTAGTAGTAGCATTATTTATTACCTCCCTTTGGTATTTTATACTACATCATAAAATCAGTTTATGAATGAAAAACAATTTATTTTATCCTCATTTTGGTTGTGTGTTTTAGAATTTAAAATTGGATCCTTTATTCAATCCAGACTAAATCCCGTTTAATTCCAGCAAATTGTTTGGCACCTTCAACTTCATGGCCATTTTTTTTCTCCTTACATTAAATGGCTGTCACTTTTTGAGATTATAAATAAATGAATTTGTTGTTTTCTTGGTTGATGTGAAAAATTAGGAAGTTGACTTAAGCTTCTTCAGAATGCCATTTGACCCTGGGATTTCACCCCACCTCCACTTAGGGTTGAATATGTGTAAGGCTTAATAAAAGTTTAATGAAATAATGGTTCATTTGAATTTACCTCCCCTACTCCCCCCAAAGAAATAGAAATCATCAATATTTTTGTTTGTTTTTTTTTCCTCTCCTAGGAAACACACATTCTGCATAAATTCAAAGAAGATTTTTATGGCTCCCAACTGAAGGTCATTATTTTCGGCTATCTCAGGCCAATGGCAGACTACAACAGTGTTGGTAAGTATGGAAACTGTTTATTTGATAAAAATGTAACTTTTTCCTTCATTTTTTTTGCTTTCTAAATAATTCCAACTAAGTTTTCAATTAATTGTCACCAATTTCAAGCCTCCAACTGTGTGCAGAAGACTTAAGCATTTAAAGATTTGTTATTGTACCCTTAATGTTGTTGTTCTCAGCTTGCCTCATTTTTGTTTAGGCCCAGAATGTAGATGTATACATGAACACAAAATGGTCAAAATATGATTTAGGAATTTGGAACATTATGAATTTAAATCAGGCTGTAATTTCAAAAATTATATACATAATGATACAAGAATTATTTTTTTTTTTTTTTTTAATCATTTCATTCCCAAGCAAAGCAATAAAGCCACTAAGATACAAGAGGTTACTGAGTGTTAGAGAATATGAGAAAAACTACTATTAAGGAGAGAAGACAATAAAAGAACAAGAATTAAGAAGACAGAAGATAATGATTGACATTGCATTTAAATTTCTGAAGATCAAAGGCAATAAAGCCACTAGGATGTAAGGGGTTACTGAGTGTTAGAGAATATGAGAAAAACTACTATTAAGGAGAGAAGGCAGTAAAAGAACAAGAATTTTAGAGAATATGAAAAGTTCAATAGAAGAAACTGTTAGCATAGAACTTACAGTTATATTTAGCCAACTGTAAACTGATGAGACCTAGCTGCCAATCTAGTACTGTGTTTAAGTTCATAAAGTCTCAAGTACCATAAAAGTATTTATAGAAAAGGCACAGGGAAGCTATATTACAGCAGTGGGAAAATGACTGAAGGCGAGATGCCAGGTCAGAACTAATAATATTGCAGATTCTTCTTTGGAGGTTAGCATCAGCCAGGCAGATGGAAGGTAAAGTGCTCACTTGGCTGATTAAAAGAAAACCGTTTCATTTTGGAGGCATTAAAATCAAGCCATTCCTTGCCCCAGTTAACAAAAAGTAGACAGTTTTCAAGATCAGCTGCCAACTTGACCTTATTGAACTGCTTAGATTTACTATTATGACAGGAATAAATGGTTGTCATTAGCATAGATACTGATTTGAGAACTGATACCATCAGGGAGGTTTTTAATGAAAATTACGAACAACATGCATCTAAGGATGGAGCTGTAAGGGACGCCTGCATTAATGTAAGATGTAGAAGACTGGCCATTTCAAGAATTTGTCCAGAAAATACCATGACCTTTCAACTTGTGAAGAAGATCAGTATGCCAAACCCTGTTGAATGCTTTCGAGATAGCCAAAGCAACAGCTTCACCATTTTTTGTTTTTATCTAAAGCTTGATAGACTCTTCCAGCAATAATTATTAACACATCAACAGTTGACCATGAAAAACAAAAGCCATATTGCTTATCTTAAAGTGAGGTGAGATAATGAACCAATTCAGAGTTGATAATAGCATCAAGAACTTTATCAAAAAGAGGTAACAGGCTAATAGGCCCATCGAAGGAACCGATGGTCTACCCAAGTTCTTTAAACACTGGAATAAAGCAAGAGGATTTCCTGGGGAAAGCATAAAGAAAGAGTTGTACAATTGAAAGTCCTCTAAGCACATTTATCTGATGAGAGTTGGTTGGTGGTAGTTGTTTTTTGTTTGTTTTTTAATAGCTTATCAACATTTTTAGAGTTTGGAGATAATGATTTACTGATACAGTCCTACTAATTAACCCATAGCTGGGGGAGAAGAGGTAGATTTGTGCATAAGTGAATATAATAAACCTAACTGGGATTGAAACTTGGCACATCCCAGCTTAGAGCACCTGGTATTTTCAAGTAGTCACCCATTTAGGTACTGACTAGATTCACAGTTGCTTAACCTCAGTGATTGTAGAATTTTTTTTTTTTTTTGGTTAATGTTTACCCAATACAAGACCCAACAGCCACTCAAGGGTTACTGCATGATGTTCTGTAAGTGTAAGGAGTGAAGTTTTTTTGTGTTGTGCAGAAAAGATAATAGTTAACTCTAGACTTGAAGAGGTCAAGATTGTTGTGATTGTAAAATCATAAGCACAGGAACAGACTTTAGAAGGAACTGGAAACCCAATCCTAAACAGGAAATGAGATAAACCTCAACTCCTGTTTAAAACAGCCGAGGTGGAGTATGAACCAGACAATAGGTGAACTCCTCCTATTGGGAGTGAAGAAAAAATAAATAATTAGTGAGTAAAAATTTCAGAGTTCAAGTAGTAGACGTTAGATGTGTAGTTTTGAAGTAGATTATTTCATATTTAACACTGGATGTGTTATTTTATAATTAACCGTTTTCAATGCCATATGGCTTTTACACCAGTTGACTAAAGAAAAACCCTAATCTTCACACAAGCCTTCAATTAATCCAAGATACACACATGAAATTCTTATAAGACTTTTTTTTTTTTTTTTTTTTTAAACACCCAAAATTTATCTATCCCTGAACCAAATACCTGATTATACAAGAATAAGTAAAAAATTATGCACACTTTCACCATAAGCTATCAATTATATATTAAATAATGTAACAAGGGCCGACCTATCATATAATCAGCCAGGCTTACAACCATATAACATTGAAATATATGGGTCCTCATACAATCACTGAAGTTAAGCAATGTTGAGCCTGATAAGTGATGAGTGGGGGTTCACTTGGGAATTCTAGGTGCTGTAAGCTCAGATGTGCAAGGGGTGCAATGAATATCAGCTCAAAATTGGAGATGAGCAGGTCCAATTCGAGTTATGGTCACTTATACACAAATGCCCTTGGGAAAAGTATGAATCCACCTCTTTTCTACCCAGCAATGGGTTAATTAATAGGACTTTTATCATCTATCCACTATAGATGAACTGCAAATGGGTTGATAAGCCATGAAAAACCAAATCAATCAACAGAATAAGAAAGTAACCAAATGAAATAAAAATAAAAGGCCAGTTATAACATAGAAGAATTTAGCATCTGTCTATATTTCTGAGATGAGGTATGATGTACACTATTTACATTATTCGGACTATTGTCCTCATCTTTATCGCCATATTTATTATATTTCGGCTGTTATATGCTCCAGCCTTCTTCAAGTGGTTGGAATGTCAAACTGAACCCTTTATTTTGCTCACTGGGGTAGACTGTTCTAGTTCCACATGCTATGTTTAATGGATGTTAGTTATCTCCTGTTAATTCATCTCTCCTAGTTCTCTAGTGCCTTAACCAGGTATTGAACTCTCACTCTTTGGGTCCTGTCACTGGATCTAACGCTTTGATCCACTCTGCCATGTGTCCTTGAGGACATCTGTGTATGAATTTCTGGATATTATAAACCTAATATCTTCAACCATTTTTTACCAGTGCTCATATTGCAATTTTTGCTGTTATCATTGCTTTTCTCTGGCACTCCTTATTACTGGTTCCTATATTGTATTCATTTCTATGCTTGGTCAGCTCAGGAGATTTTTGTGGCCTAGCATATGTGCTGATTCCTTAAGTTTTATGAATTTTCAAATTATGTTCTTTGTCTATGATCTCAACCTGATCTGACAGAGGGTGGTGATTTCTCTTTTCTCTCCATGCATGGTTTAGTCATGTTCTCCTCTATGTGGGTGGGGAGGGGTTCTTACTCGGGAGTGGTATCTGAAGTGTCATCCAGCTTTTGGAGGTTGTCCTGATGCTTTGTATTTTCTCCATATAAGGCAGGCGGACTGTTTTCTGAGTGTTGTCTATCCCAATTTATTGGGGCTGCTGCCATGTACCCAGGGTTGTTATTACATTGTAGGGTACTGCTTATACTGACCAATTCTTTATCTAATGTCTCTGGGTCACCACTTATGACTTTTGCTCAATGTTGTAAGCATCGGACGATCCTTTTCTTTACGCTCAAGGACACATGGCACAGTGGATAAAGGTGTTAGTTAGATCCAGTGACGGGACCTAAAGAGTGAGAACCTGGAGAGGGGAATTAAGAGGAGATAACTGATAACCGACATCCATTAAACTTAGCACATGGAACTAGAACAGTCTACCCCAGTGAGTGAAATAAAGGGTTCAGTTCGACATTGAAGAAGGCCAGAGTGTACAACGGCTGAAACATTGTGATAAATATGGCAACAAAGATAAGGACAATAGTCTGAATAATGTAAATAGTATAGAAGAATTTAGTACCATGTTCAGGTCAGCCAAACACAGATGTCAGTGGTACAAAGCTGGTCCAAGAAGTACTTCTAGAAAATGAAAAAAAAGACAGTTTAAAAAGTCAAAAAGCTTACAACCAGATTCTCTGTCATGATCTTAGAAACAATGTACTAACAGCTTAAATGTCTTAATTGCAGAACCTGAAAAGTCACACAAGGATCGCATAGCTAACTGTATATTTCTTCCCCCCCTACCAGTGACCTCGCCCTCATGAAATGAAGTTGATTCAGTAAATATTAAGAAAGCAAAAAAACGTCTTTTACATGTGGACTATTGTCCTCATCTTTGTTGTTAGCCATTGTGATAAAAACAAAGATGAGGACTATAGTCTGCAAGTAAATGAGAACTCTTCATCCCAGAAATTCAGACAGCAAAGTCTTTTAAGTTTATACATTTGTCTCTTCGTAGAACCTGAATGTAATCCTATTTTATGATGAATGGGTTTTTATCTCGGTGAGGCCCTCCCACCTATTAGACAAAATCCCAGAATTTGTAAACCTCCATTGCTGTGCTGATCCTGCTGTTCTCTACAAGTGCCAGATCAGGCTGAAAATGGAGTACTACTGTCCAGTTACAATAGAGTCCAAAAGTGACTCCACATCCTTGTGGGTGATGAATTATTTTCCACCCCTACACTCCCTTTCCCATAGACAAAACGTTGCAAGCCTCTTGCTGCTATATCACTATTAAAATGGAAAATGTTCAAGCGAACAGCATCCCTTAGTTCCACTAATTGTAACCTTTGCAAATAAGATGTGCCATGCCACACACATTGTAGCAAACCACCTTTATTCACTTTGTATTCCTTCAGCAAAATGGAAGTTCCGCTGAAGCAGCTGTTTTATGGAATTGACTTACAAGTGTTCCCCCCTCCTTCCTTATAATGTTCACCTGTTCTAGTCTAGAGTCAACCATTATCTTTCCCTCATATCTGCATAAATTGTTCCTTCCTCTGTAACCCTCTACCTCGAGTGGCTCCCGGGGCTTGTACAGGATGAACATTATTGTTATATAACTCAAATCTGCCACATTTTTTTCTGATGAGATTGAAAACCATTAGTTTTAGGAATTGAAATGTCGCCTGCTGATTTTTTTTTTTCCCTGAATGCCAATGGAAGTTTTACTTTAAGTAAGTTAATTTTTTTCTTTCATTTCAGATGAATTGATAAAGGCTATCGAAGGAGATTTAAGCAAAGCTTCTACCTTGTTAGAGAAACCATCTGCTCTGGCTTTTAAAGACGACAACTTCTTTAATGCTGACAAAGAGAGTTGATCACAAAGCATCCAAATAATAATAATCTATTTTTATTGACGTACCCATTAAAATCCTTATCTTCTGACATGTTTCTTTCTTGCTTTCTTCTGATTAAAGGCAGGGACATTTTAACCACTTGCCTCAGGCCCCTTTTCAGAAGATGCAAGATGACTCATAACAATCACCAAAATGAAACCCATTTCCAATACTCTGGACTTAACTGATCTTTAAACTAAATATTCCCCATGACAACTTTGATATTCTATGTGTTGCAACATTATGCCAGTTTGGAAAGCTCTGGACTTGTATAATCATAAAAGAATATAAAGTCAATGTTCAAATGTCAGGCAAGAGAGAGAGAGACACATTCAGACAATTTGACTCTTTAAATGGCTGCCTTTTTATATATACCATCCATCCATAGAAAGTGGAAAGCTCAAAAAAACAATTCAAGGTTTTTTGGGTTTTTTTTAGCAATGCATAGCAGAAGATGAAAATCTATCACTCTCCTTAGTAGAGTTAAAAGAAAGAATTAACCATTTTACAGATTTGGTCATATCCTGATTTTTTTTTTTTTCTCTCTCCTCTCCTCCTCTCTCTCAGGTTGGGAGTAGCATCTCAACATTGACCACATTTAAAATTATAAATAAAATATTTTCCGAATTATTGCGTTTGTTTCCCTTTGTGAGTTACTTAAAGTTGAAATATATTTTTGGATTGTAAGAATATTCTTCATTTTTTTTTTTTATTTAAAGTAAATAATGATACTTTCACATACAGTTTGTACTATTTACTGTATAGCTGTGGGCAAGGAGATGTCAGTCATAAAATGTTTAACATAAGCACTTGTAACAAACATGAAAGAAATTATACACTAAAATATTATTTATTAAAGACATTTATGTTTAACGTTCTTTTTTATAGATACAAGTATTTAAGTAAATGCTCTGTTTATAATAAACAGTATTAAATAATTTCTCGGGCATTCCGGCAGGTAAATGTTTTCATAGAAATTCAGGCCGGTAAATGTTATTTAATACTGTTTATTATAAACAGAGCATTTACTTAAATACTTGTATCTATAAAAAAGAACGTTAAACATAAAAATGTCTTTAATAAATAAATTGTCGGACTTTGTCCATTTCTTAATATAAAACTAAAACATACAAAACACGACCAAAAACAATAGGACACAATATCAATAAGCTAAAACAATTGCCCCAAAATTAGACGTAGATGACCAAATAAATTGCATCGCTACAAAGAAAATTTCAAAACCAAGACAACAAGCAGACTCATAAACCCAATCAAAAGTGAACTTGGTTAAATAAGTAAAACGATACTAAAAAGAATTAATTCAGTGCTAAGGAACAACTACAGGCTGGTTGCGCAACATTAAAAACAAACATAATTGTCTCTCTATATTTCTGAGATGAGGTATTATGTACACTATTTACATTATTCAGACTATTGTCCTCATCCCGACTTGTACGCTCGGGTCTTCTTCAGGTGGTTGGTTGGAATGCCGAATTGAATCCTTTATTTCCCTCACTGGGATAAAGGCATTAGTTAGATCCAGTGACAGGACCCAAAGAGCGTGAGTTCAATACCTGGTTAAGGCAGTGGAGAACTTGGAGATGGGAATTAACAGGAGATAACTGACATCCTTTAAATATGGCACATTGAACTAGAACAGTCTACCCCAGCAAGCGAAATAAAGGGTTCAGTCCGACATTCCAACCACCTGAAGAAGGCTGGAGCATACAACAGCCGAAACATTGTAATAAATATGGTGACAAAGATGAGGACAATAGTCCGAATAATGTAAATAGTAAAAATAATTGTCAATTTATACAAGTAGCCATGAAAGAATTCTAGCCTTCTATAATAGAATTAATGCTAGATAAGGCCATCACCTTAGCTCAAGACAAATAAGAAACAGAAACAAAATCAAGATCATTAAACAATCCCATAAATTACAACTAATCGATAATGAAGATGTATGGATAAAGAAAGAAGGGATCATTGACACTACAATGGGAAACTTAGACAGTGCAGGAACCTGCAAACTTATATGTATATATTAACTACATGAACTAAGTAAAATAATAGATAGAAATGATACCAGATTCTACAGGGATGACAGTTTCATAATCTAAAAGTATAAACAAAACACAGACAAAACTAGGAAAGCAATAATAAAGATTTTCAAAAATATGGGATTTGTCAGACATAAAAACTAACGTAAACAAAGTAGATTTTCTAGATGTCACCTTCAGCCTAAGATAAGGTATATATAAACCATACAGAAAACCCAATGATCAACCACTGTATATACATATCTTCTAATCACCCACCATCTATAATCAAGAACATACGAAACTCAATTAACCGCAGACATTCCGACAATTATTCCAATGAAACCATTTAACAAAGCTAAGAAAGACTATGAAACAGCCCATAAAGATAGTGAAAGCCAAAAGTAAAAGAAACCTCATGTGGCTCAAGCTCAACCCACTATACTACAAAAATGTATAAACATAGGAAAAATATTCATCAAACTCTTACACAAACACTTCCCCGAATCAAGCACTTTCCCAAAATATTCAACAAAAACACTGTAAAAATCAGTTAACAGCTGCACTGAGAACATCACACAATAAACAAAAAAATACAACAGGAAAACTATCAACAAACCACCTGAACAAATTAAACCCATGTATAACTGCAGGATAAAGAACGAATGACCCTTAAATGGCAATTGCTTACAAAGCAATGTAATATGCCAAGCCACGGTAAAAATCATCAGAGAACAAAGAAAAAATTATCATACAAGAAACTGAAGAACCCTGGAAATGAAGAAACTACATGCACATGAAGAAGTGGTTCCTGTGAACTACAGCAGCTTAAGAGATAGGAGAGAACCAATGAGATGGTTTCAATTGGTATTTCTGTGCTGGAATGAAAGCTTTGATGCCAGCTTTCAATCAGGCAGAGACCTCATTGGCATATTTCTGAACAGGAAGATTAAAAATATAATTCCAAATGGCATTGTGAAAAAAAATCACAAAATGAGTGTTGATTCCAATCTTTACTGTGAATGACTGCAAAACACTATTCCCTCCCCTTTTATAAGCATTTTTTTTAGCAATTCAAATTAAAAGAAGACTAGAATTGTAAGGTTATGATAAAGACATTAAAGATAAAGGCGACTCATTTAAAAGAATCAATGTATAATAGTAACAAAACCATATCTGAGCAATTCCATGAGAAACAAGTCTGGAGGCAACTATGGCTGTAATATTGCAATGAAGCCAACAAAGACAGGAAAAAAATGATTCAAAATCATCTTTGCCTCAGCCAAGAAAATCAAAAACAGATGTTAGGCTTTCAAGTGAAGTCTTTCAGTTAGTGTATATATTAAAGGAAAATAAAATATAGTTAATGGTAGGAATTGAACCTACATACCTGAGTTTCATTTCCTTTCAAATCTTCAAGTGTTGTTGCTGAACTGATGATCTTTTCTACAAATGAAAAACAATTTCCATTCATGGAAACACTTACCTGTCTGTAATTCTAAAAATCAGATTCAAACAAGTCAGCCAATCAGAATAGAATGCTACAAATTTGAAAAGGCCAGTCTGTTTCTTGCAATCTGATTGGTCAGTCATTGCTTTTCACAGTAAAGTACTTTTTTTTTTTTTAAAAAAAAAAAAGGATACAAAGACTTGCAAACAAACTTTGACAGTGGAGGCCACTCACTGAGATGTGTCTTTAATTATCATACTTGCTAGCATATTAAATATTCACTTTGTAAATAATAAAAAATAAGGTTACTTTAAGAGAAGCCATTATCCAATTTCAGAACCTTTCTCAAATTCCTGCATTAATATTTACTCTCTCACAATGACATTACCTTCTTCCATTAATTTACAATTCTGTCCATGTCTACAAGAAGTTTCAGCCATTCAATTCTGGAATATTCATTTCTCTTCATTAATAACACTCAAGAAAAAGAAAAAAAAAAAAAAAACCTGAAAACAAATTTTTGCTTATCATACTTTTTAACACAAACACTTTCGGGGGGGGGGGACATAACACAAACATCACTTGATGACACAATACTTTAAGAAACCAACATCATGTGAAGACATGATATTTAAAAAAATGAAAATGACCATGCATATAAATCGTTACAACATTATCAACAAAAAATCTCTGATAATGACTTATCAAAGTTAATAGTACCCAGGCAGACTATTTATGTTTAAACTTTAACCAGGAAACTTAGTGCATATGAATAAAAAGAGACAAGAGGAAAAAAAATATTCTTAGTCGACATGTTTTGTCTCTCTCAGGATGAAATGCATCAGATAAAAATACTTTTTCCTCTTACTTCTTATTTATTTTGTTCCTTTATATATAAAATAAAGTGGGGAAAAAAAACAATTATGAAGAATTTATCTAAACTCCACATAAAATAATAAAAGAATTAGTCAATAATAAACAATAAGATAAAACTTAGAGGAATTTACTCAATCGCCTGTAATAATTGTCACAAAAAATACATCGGAGAAACCTCAAGGAATTTAAATAAAAGTTTATATGAACATAAAAGGGACATTTTAAAGAACAACACATTAAATGCATTAGTTGCTCACTGTAATGAGATGGTCTATAATTTTGATATAAAATAAAACGCTACTCTGATTTAAGGAGAAAAAAATTCAACAAGACGAAAATGTTTAGAGAGTATCTTGATTGTAAGGTCATTCACAGCAAATTTGCACCCTGGCTTTTACAACATTTAACCATTCTTGGCAAATCTATTATTACAATGTGGAATATTTAATAACAAAAGTAATCAAAAGAAAAAAGAATCTAAATGAAATTAGCTAGATTATACGCCCAAAACAGATAAAAAAATAATTTAGAATCAGCAGCATATCTTCTTTGTGTGCATGTCTAGTTGCATCAAATGTAAACAAATTTAGTTTAACTTAAAGGATGAAATGCAT